AAACCATAATATTCTCTTCTTAATCTTCTGTAATGTACTTTAAACCTTCATGATGATCACATCCTGTGTCTTTCTGAAAGTCACAAATATTATAATCTTAAAATAGTTTTTCCCCCAAGATTTTAAAGCAATTGGTGTTGGTGATTGTAGTTTTTATTTAAGAAGCTCTTGAGAGATTGTCAGAATAGCAGAGTCGTTAGGAGAGTTTGTTCAATGGTGGGAGTGCCTATGGTGGAAAGACACAGGATGGGTTTAAAGCATGGCACTGATTTCTCAGTGAGTGAAGGGACTATCCTTGGTGCTTCCTCAAGTGTCTTCTGGAGATTACCTGTGTCAGGATTACCAGGTTAAAATGGCAGATTCCTGGACCCCAACTCAGACCTGCAAATCTGAAGGGGCCAGGGATGATAGCAACAATAGGTGTCTTAGTCTACTTTGGGTGCTTTAACAAAATACCATACATTGGGTGGCTTAAACAACAGAAATTTATTTCTCACAGTTCTGGAGCCTGAGAAATCCCCCGATATGGATGACAGTTGACTGGGTTTCTGGTGAGAGCTCTCTTCCTGGTTTGTAGACATCCATCTTCTTGCTGTGTCTTCACATGGGGGGTTGGAGGCTAGGAAAGCAAGCTCTCTGGTGTCTTCTTATCAGGGCACTAATCCCATCATGAGGGTCCCACCCTCATGAACTCATCTAAACCTAATCACCCCCCATAGGCTTGATGGGGTTCAGGATATTCATTACCACAAAATATGGCACCTTGGCATATTAAATATCTTAAGCTCAAGGAGTTTGAGGAAAATGGCGGAAGCAGGAAGGTCACCCTGACTATAATGATCTGTCCATAACAGTCCATAACAATCTGCAATGCTAACTGGTATCCCAGGTGATTCTGAAGTTTGAGAATCTTTGAGTTAGGGCATCCCTGAGCCTCTCTCTCTGTTAACAGTAACTAAAATGTCCTGGGAGTTTACAATGTGCCTTGTCATTTTCCAAGTCCTCTATCTGGTTTTAATTCCCACAACTACTCTATGAGGGAAGTACTATCATCATCCCCATTTTACAAACGAAAAGAAATGGAGGCAAAGAGGTTTAAATACATTGCCCAAGGTCACCCAGCTAAGAAACTGCAGAGTCGAGATACAGACACGGGCCACCTGGGGGCAAGAACAAAATCCGGAGCACTGCCCCTTTGCTGTGAGCTGCTCTCTGTTTAGAAGACTAAATACGGGGGCAAGAACAAAATCCGGAGCACTGCCCCTTTGCTGTGAACTGCTCTCTGTTTAGAAGACTAAATACGATGTTTCCTTTTCAGAACCATAAGTGCGTCTCCAGGTCACAGTGTCAATGTCTCCATAAATGAGACAGAGACAGAAAATCTCATCCTTCCTGCCCTGGGAAGGCATTACACAGGACAACCAAATTGCTATAAATCTTTTAAAGACAGGAAAGTGACCCCATTTTATTAGGTCAGGCCTATCTGTAAGAGGCAAAAGAAAACAAGTCCACACAGTTTATGGGATTTGTCACCAAGGCAATGCAATCAGATCCAGGGATAGTCAAGTTTAGAATTTGACTTATACAGAAAATTCCGTCAGCCATTTGTAACTCCCTTGACTATTTACACATTCTGTCAATTCTTTTATTATTTTTCTAACCTTGCATTGTAGTATATTATTCTCGTTTCCATTGAACAATCCATTCTCTCAGACAATATTGTAAATTCTTTGAGTGTAGGGATATTTGATGTATAGTCAATGAGGGGTAGACAAAATTAACACCATTGGACGCCTCCTCTGTCCAGACACCATGCCAGGAGCTTTACTTGTGGTATTTTATCCAATCTTCGCATCTTTCTGAGAGGACGGGTGTTGTTGGAGCAATGTTGTGGGTGCTCAGGCTGCCATGGTCTGCTCCCTGGCTCCTGGGAGGGGTCAGGTCACCCTGATCCCTGGATTGGCCTCGGCTCCATGTTCCTGGACTCTACTTGTCCAAGCACCAGCTTGTGGCCATCTCTTATGGACAATTTCATTCTGCTAAACTCATAGAAGACCTACACCCATGAGAAACTCTGTGCTAATGAACATTTTTAAAAGGAGCCATCAAATGACCAGTGTGATCAGCATATTCTCTCCCCGGAAACTAATTCACATGAGAAGCCAGATTATAATCAGAAGGTTGTTTGATGAATATACAGACAAAATGAAAAATGATGTGATGATTAAGCTCCCGAGCTAACAGCTTCAAGAATTCTTCCCAAGAGTTTTAACTCCCAAACATACAGAGATGTGTCCTCCAAATAGCTCAGAAATGACGCCAATGTCGCATGATTTGTCTCTTTCTCTTTTCTCCTTTTCCTACCCTCTGCCTCAGGAATTCTTCATCTAATATAGCAGCCTCCAAAAAGGGCATGCAAAATTTGTGCATGGTTTGTATGTACTGGGGAAAGAGTTCATACAATTCATTGAATTTTAAATATATTATATATATATATACATATAATTTTTAAAAATTAGTAATGTAGCCTGAGTTCATTGTAACAGATTTTTTTTTGTTTTTTTTTTTTGTTTGGTGAGGAAGATCTGCCCTGAGCTAATATCTGTTGCCAATCCTCCTCTTTCTGCTGAGGAAGATTAGCCCTGGGCTAACATCTGTGCCCATCTTCCTCTATTCTGCATATGGAACACCACCACACATGGCTTGATGAGCAATGTGTAGGTCTGCACCTGGGATCTGAAGCTGCGAACCCCGGGCCACTTAACCACTACGCCACCGTGCCAGCCCCCATTGTAACAGATTTTAATTAAAAAAAAATATTCATACCAATTCAGACACAAATATATGTGTATATTTATATTTTTAATGCAATTACACTATATACAGAATATTGTTCAGTAAGGTCTTTTTCCCATAATATGTCTTGGATTATCTTTCTAACATTCTTCATAGCAACTGAGCAATATACCATAAAACCAATTTATCTTTGTTTATTGACCCATGCCTCTATTTATGGTGAATTATGTTGTTTCTGTCCTTCATGCTGTTTCTCTAAAGAGCCAAACACCTTCCTATCTCAGGCCTCTGGACCACTCTTGCCCCAGACCTTCCCTAGGGGGGCCCTTGTGCCCTAGGTTCCCTCAGAGAAACCCTTCCCCCATCAAAATCGCCCATCCTCCAGACTCTACACACTTAACTTGCATCCTTTTTCTTCATAACTTCTTAAAGCAACCTGAGCTTATGGTAGTCATCTGTGTGTCTTCTCTGTCTTGCTCTGAGGCCTTGAGAGCAATTTTTCCCTTTGGGCCTGGAACTGAGCCTCGTCCAGAGTTGATGCTCACAAAGTATTTGATGAATGAACACCTGTCTAATTTTCACACTCTCATACAAATATTCCAGGTTTCCAGGGCCCGCCCCGTGGCACAGTGGTTAAGTTCGGCGCGCTCCACTTCGGCAACCAGAGATCTGCGGGTTCAGACCCCAGGCGTGGACCTACACACCACTCGTCAGCCATGCTGTGGTGGCATCCCACATACAAAATAGAAGAAGGTTTTCACAGATATTAGCTCAGGGCGAATCTTCCACACCAAAAAGGAAAAAAAAAATTCCAGGTTTCCTAGAATTAGGATAATTGGTGTATAAGAAAGTTCATTCAAAATTTGACAGACACTACCAAATTATTCTCCTAAAATATTATACTGGGGCCGGCCCGGTGGCGCAAGCAGTTAAGTGTGCGCGCTCTGCTGTGGCGGCCCAGGTTTGGATCCCAGGCGCGCGCCAATGCACCGCTTGTCAAGCCATGCTGTGGCAGTGTCCCATATAAAGTGGAGGAAGATGGGCATGGATGTTAGCCCAGGGCCAGTCTTCCTCAGCAAAAAGAGGAGGATTGGCAGATGTTAGATCAGAGCTGATGTTCGTCACAAAAAATAAAAATAAAAAATAAACTAAAATATTATACTAATTTATACTGCTTTAAAAAGGTGTGACAGGATCTTTCCCCACACATCCTGAACAATAGTAAACATCACAATCTTTTTTCCCCAATATCATTTATTTACAATATCATATTTCCCCTATATTAAATGGGAAATTGTTATTTTACTTTGTTTTAATTTGTATTTCTTTAGGCTTGAGTGAGGTAAATACCTTTTAAGTATATTGATTATCAATCTTTTGCCATTTATGTCTTGCCTGTTCCACGCTCCCAGATTCTTAAGGGAGTCTCTGAACCAAAAGGTTAATTAACAACTGTTTCTCTCTTTTAACATTTTTAGACATGTTAATTCCATTATCTAAAAATAAAAAAACAACAACAAAAGAAAGGGTAACAGTAGTTGTTCCTTCGTGCCAAGGCGATTTTAAGCGTTTTACCTGTCTTATCTCATTTAATTCTCTCACTAGCCTTTTGACATAAGTACAATTGTTATCCCCATTTTACAGATGAGCAAAGAGGTACTGAGTGCAAGTAAAAAGAGCATCCAGGCCCCCCAGGAACACGTGACATCGCCATGAGGTCTTTATTCCTAGGGGCTCTCTCTGGGCCTTCTCATTTCCAGTCCCGCTGGGTGGATTACCTTGCTACAGATGGCTGATCTTGCCCATTTGCATGTGGGTCTTTCCAAATCTCATGATCAAGTGTTACTGACGAGGAAACTGATGCAGAGGTTAAGTGACTTCCCTGGGCCCATGGTGGCAGGCCCATCTTTTAGAAACTAGATTACAAAGCCCAGCTCTTTCCGAGACACTTCAGCCACCAGGACCACGCTGGGCCAAGGTATTTGCTGACAACACGTTTGCTGAATTGGTTTTACCAGAGCTGAAGCAGAGTGGACACAGATCCACCATAATTAGGGCACATCTCTAGTGGATAGGAGGAAAAAACTGAGTGGTCATTCTGCCCTGGACTCTCTGGACACCAGACCTCAGCTCATGTGACTAGATCAGTCAGCTTTGAGAAGCTCTGACCTTGGGAAGTTTGGTGGGAAAGAGACGGGAAGCAGGGTCTGTGAAGGGACGGTACCCACCTAGCAATCTCACATGCAGGGCTAGGGACCAGCAAGCGGGACAGCAGGGAACAGACCTGGAGAGATTAACACAGCTAGGGTTACATATTCGTGAGTAGGAAATCAACAGAGGCCTTGAAAAAACGTTTATCTTTATCATTATAGTTATAACAAAAGAAAAACAAAACACAAAAAACTCCTTTATTAGTGTGATTTACTCCCTCCTCCCCATAATATTTTGATCTTGATGGTAAATCATGTGAATTAAAAAACGAAAGAGAGGACTGGCCCAGTGGCACAAGCGGTTAAAGTGCGCATGCTCCGCTGGGGCCGCCTGGGGTTCCCCGGTTCGGATCTGGGCGTGCACCTAGGCACCGCTTGTCGAGCCATGCTGTGGCGGCGTCCCATATAAAGTAGAGGAAGACGGGCGTGGATGTTAGCTCAGGACCAGTCTTCCTCAGCAAAAAGAGGAGGATTGGCATCAGATGTTAGCTCAGGGCTGGTCTTCCTCACACACACAAAAAAAATGAAAGAGAACCTGAGGTCAGCCAGGGACATCAAGTCAGCTGTGGCCACACGTGATTTGGGGGAGATGGAGGGTGAGGAGGGGGAGTGACTCATGCATTGAAGCTGGCAAGGAATGAAAGAGACTCCGGAGCAAATAGGTGACAATCGTTCTTCTCTTTAATATATAATTAATACCATTGTCTAAATATAACATTAGATCTAATTTTTTAAAACCTAAACAACAGAATAGTAGTAGCACCTTAATATGCACTAGTGCTATTTTAAGAACTTCACAATTTCATTTAATCTTTGCAACAACCACTTTCTTTATAGATGACAGCAAGCTCTCCAATTTAACCCAAGTATTTTTTGAGCACGTAGGCTCTGCCCATGGACGTGGGGGTCCCAAGAGAAGAAAGGCACAGTCCTTGTTCTTGAGGAGTGTAGAGGGTTGTTAAGGATATAAAACATGATTACACCACATGCAAGTCAGACTCTCCGTGCCAAAGGATGGATAATTTAATAAATGCAATGGAGACAATGGGCTTGCCATTTGGAATAAAAGAGAAGCATGAGACCCAAATCAAATCTTACATTAAAATAAATTCCAGATGGATGAAATATTTTAACATACAAACAATGAAACTGTAATGATACTAGAAGAAAACAAGGCGTGGGTGTATAATTTTATAATCTCGGAGTGGAGACCATCTTTCTTGCCACGATGCAAACCCCAGAAGCCATAAAGGAAAAGACTACCAATCTTGGCCACATAAAAATTAAAGATAAAAAATTCTGGATGGCCACCTCTGTTGTAAATATGATCAAAGGGAAAAACAGAGGAAAAAACGTTTGCAACTCATACGGCAAACTGCTGATTTCCCTACTATACAAAAAGCTCTTTCATTTTAATAAAAATAAATTAAAATTAAAATTGTCTTGGGTCCAGGATGGTGGAATAGTGGTTAAGTTCCTGTGTTCCACTTCAGTGTCCCAGGGTTCACAGGTTCAAATCCCAGGCACGGACTTATGCACTGCTCATCAAGCCATGCTGTGGCGGCATCCCACATACAAAATAGAGGAAGGTGGGCATATATGTTAGCTCAAGGCCAATTTTCCTCAGCAAAAAAATAAATAAATAAAATAAAATTGTCTTAGTTAACAAAAGAGGAAATCCAGATAGACTGCAAACACCAAAATGTTTAACAATAACTATAGAAATTCAAGTTGAAACAGCACTGAGTTTTTTTTCACACATAATAGATTAGTAAATATTTTTAAAAATTGATAATATTCAGTGTCAATTATGCTGTGATGGAATGGACACCTTCGATGGGAACATAAACTGATAAAACAAGCATCCCTTTAAACGGGAGCAAGAGGGGTCTCTCTGTACTTTAGAGGACCCCATTCGGGCCCCCATCTGCTGCACCCTCCCCACTGGGGAGAAGACTCTCTGGGGTTGAGACAACAGGCCCACCTGGAGCCCATGCCGCTCCCCTTCTAGGTCATGCTCCAGAGATCCAGGACCCTGCACTTCTCTGTGCAAGTGGCACTGAACCGAGTGGGCTCGCCTCCTGGTGAGTTAGATAAGACTCTATCTACACCAGTGGAAGTTGTCTCACAAAGTAAAGTGTATTTGCAGCAAACAGGAGACCATGAGGAATCATTTCCAAAGTCATGGCGTCCCCAAACAAAGGGAAGCAGGAAATTTTATTTCAGATGAGGACTGAATATTCAAAAGGGAGAGGCGGGTATTCGCTTGCTCAGGCTCAGTTGGAGAGCATGCTTCTGTATACACTGGAGGTTAGGGTGATAAGGCCTAAGCTCCTCCTGGAGAGATCTTAGCATTAAAAATAAAGCAAAGGGGGCCGGCCCTGTGGCTTGGTGGTTAAGTGCGCGCGCTGCAATGCTGGTGGCCTGGGTTCGGATCCCGGGTGCGCATCGAGGCACCGCTTCTCCGTCCATCCTGAGGCCGAGTCCCACATGCAGCAACTAGAAGGATGTGCACCTATGACATACAACTATCTACTGGGGCTTTGGGGGG